TGCTTCTGTTTCAAATGTCACATCAAAATAATGATTTTCATAATGATTTCCGTCTTTGGTATACGCTTGTCTTTCTGTAGTTCATAAAGTGCATCCGGCGATTTTTAAGATGAGTGATATCATTCAACAAAGATGATCCATTAAATTTTGTGTGCGAAAACAAATTTCTGGTGCAGAAACATTCTGAATGTTGGAAAATAATTTCGGTGACAATAGTTTGTCAGGAGGGTCGGGATTGCGATAATGATGAACACCTTAATAAAATAAAATAATTGATGCTTGCGGATCGACGATTAACAGTCAGAGACCTTACTATCATTGTTGGAATATCGGAAGGATAAGTGAAGATCCGGCCTATATTCTTCCAAAGTTAGAGTTTAGTAGTCACTTTTGGTTGAGGTTACCCTGTAGCCGTGAATGGAGAAGGCGATTAGTGGGAAGAATGATACAACAACTAAGAGTATCTACCTATCTATATATAATATAATACCATAACTGGTTAAACAAACAGTTTCATGCGAAATTTCTGTAAAAACTGTCGTACCATCAGATTTTAAATATGCATCTTTTATTGAAAAACTCAACTTGAGATAGATTTTTAAGGAAATTGTATGAACTACAAAAATTCACAATGTAGACGAACTGAATATGTGTATATGTAATATGACGGACAGACTTTTTGTTGTGTATAACTAAATCCCTAGGAAATTTGAAGTTCTTTCGTCGTAGAAGGAGAACAGAAGGATGCCCTATGGTATTTTTTAATGATATCTACACCTATATAGGAAACTTTGAATGCTCATAACTTATGACGCGTTTGATAGTCTCTTCGTGTTGTTCATTATGAAATGGCAAAACAAACTATGTTCAATTCAAGTAACAACTATAAAAAAAACTTCTAAAAACAGCCATTACTTTCGGGTTTTTGAATGTCTATTAATTTTGGACCCAAATCTCAGTGACAACTGCGCTGAACAGGGGAGCAATATAACGTAACTGATACGATTTTAATAAAGTAACGACTTTTCAAATGAAAATGCAAATGTATGTGTGTATGACACACGACGCAGCCACAARATCATACAAATCTACACTCACACATGCAAATGTGCGGCAGCAAAACGAAGTTAATCCAATTTAATCGAAATCGCARSGAATAAAAAATATCGCCAGCTGCACATTCCGCTTAACGACTGCGTTATTATTACTGTTAGACGCGTCGCTGTGTTGGCGAGTCGCCGGCATTCGCAGCATTTTCGGTTAGTCGTTGGGATGTTTTTCTAAGCCATAAACGTTGTTCTACATTTCGCACAGCCGCCTGTGCACCACTTCCCCGCGCACGCCTGGAATAACAACAATTAAGCGGCTAGTTTAATACACTGCATACAACAACAACAATAAGAACAACAAAAACGTGCAGCATATGACCAAATGACCCAACAATCTGGGCACTGCATGCCGCCGCCGATGCTGCAGTTGCGCCGCTGTCTGTCGGGCGTCGGGAGTCGGGCGGAACAACGTCGCTGGCCGGGTTATGGCCAAAATCCATTTGGCCAATCGAAATTTCTGTTGACTGGCGCCGGAATGCATAAAAGTTAAATATTAAACATAACAAGTAAACAGGGAAAGTCGCACAAATAAACAAAATAGAAATAGCAATAATAACAACAACAGCAACAATGTGAATTAACAAGCAAAATGGCAAGCTTGTAATTGCATTTGTTCATCGGCTGTCAGCGGCGCCGCATAAATACCCGTAGGCATCAGCCGGACGCTGTGGCTGAGGCGGGGGCGGGGCGTGAGCCAAAAGCGCAATTAAAGCTTGTGTTGTCGTCGTCGCTAATAGAATAACGTTTGCTAAAAATATAATGCTAATTGCTGTTGCACGTTGCAGTGTCGTGTTGTGGCACGAAATGCCGCTGCAAGCGACGTTGTGTGGCGAAAATCTAACGGCGATCAGCGAATTTGAAACGGCGGCGAGTGTTATCTGTCGTGCCTGACCTGGCAGCAAGTGGCGAGAGGAGATAACAAGCAAACATTTTAATATTTTTGAGCATTTGTTTAGGGTGGTTTTGCAACAACTAATGATGCTATGATTTAGGAGTCAATATTTTTTAATCAAATTTGGCACCGAATCGATGGAAAATTGTGAGGGTATTTTATGTTAGTGTGAAAGTTGATCGTTTTCTTGAATTTTTGCATTTTTAATGSAATCACAACTACGGAATCATTGAAAATGTTGCAGAAGTGTTCTGGATATTCTACTTTACAGCGAACTAAAGAATTTGAGAGACATAAAACATTCAGTAAAGGTCGCGCGTTCATTAAAACCTTGATTCAGGCGACTCGTGTGACCAYCTCTATTAATGACGGTATCATCGAAAAAACTAAGTGAACAGTGCTTGAAATCGTCGTGTTGTCATTCGACATGCTACTTAGACTGATATCGAAAGATCCGAATATGTTTCAAAAACGCATCGAGTAGATATTGCAAATTAGGTGCTTGGCAACGTAGCTGTGGATTCCTCACTCATTGGTGACGAGATGTGGTCAGAACTGTCCAATAATCTGCAGAATGGTCTCCCAACTGTTAAAGGAAACCGAAAGAGCAATGTCAAAACCAGTCAAAAATCAAAATGATGTTAACCGCCTTCTTTGATTACAGTATTGTGGTTTCTACGCAATCGGTTCACAGGGCCGAACAGTCAATAGAAATACTATTTGGCGATTTTACGACTATTTGAACAGTCGCTATACTGCGGCAACCTACTGCGACTGTTGGAATAGTATTATTAAATATCGGGTGATCCAAGTAGAGGTTATTTGTTTAATAGCCTTTTTTTTTTTTCTCACGCGAGAGTCCTGTCGATCTCCTGTTTAAGTGTTTAAATAAATGAAAATTGTTTGAAATCCAAGCAATTTTGATTTGTCCTTGTTCTAAATTTGTGAAGAGTCAATTCTGCGTCTATACACGGCATACTTCCTATTTACAAATTTATAAGTTGCACGCTTACTATTCGAATAGTCGACAAAGAACGTATGAAGCGAACGGTTAATCAAATAGCTGACATCCTCCGACTATGCGGATATTGCAAACCGAATATTGTTATTCAAAAAATGTCCTCTGCGGTTAATCCGAATAGTCGAATTTTTTTTTTTTCTTTAGAAGTACTAAAAAAAAAAAGTGACGAAATTTGCTTGAAGAACACATTTTTGGACTTTCTTTTTTTACTTTTCRCTTGAAGCTAAGACGAAGTTATAATATTACGGACCTATTTGTAATATAAATCTAGCTGCTTTACGTATACTTCTTCAGGCTAATTATCATAGAAGGCACATTTTCGTTCACAGATGCAAAACAGGTAACAAAATATTTGATTCGAAAGTGCATATCATCACAAAAAGGGCACGGAAATAACGTATTAAATTAGATAGAGTCAGATGAACTCTATTAGCAAATATGTGAATAACAAAGTACTGGGAGGAACGCAGAATTGTAAATTTTAGATTTGTGCAAAAATTAAATAATGGTGTAATGCTATCAAATATATGTAATAAAATCGATTTTGGTTTACACGGGTGTTTTTAATTGTTGTACGTATCGATAGTATTGAAAAAGGATAAGTACTTGTCTTGTACCTAGAAACTGAACTCCATCTATTATCGCAAAGAACCACAACCTGTCTATTCGCGCTCCACTTCCCGTGCCAGATTGGCCTACCTAAGCTAATCTAATTGCTGTATTATTTTCAAACGTGTGTAAAGATGAATTTCATAAAAGTTACTCATACGTCATGTTGCACAAATATGTTTTCGACTAAGAATTACATACTGTGTTATTTTTAGAATAACCTAGAGAAACTGTTTCCACTTCGGATTTATRTAAACGGAACGAGTTCGAGGTTTCTTAAACTCGCGGTCCTTTAAATCGGCTGAAATTTTTTTCGCCACTACACAGCCACTTGAGGCAAATATGTATTTAGTGCGAACGAGATCCACTGTAAATTCTATTGGTTTTTAATAACATATTAAAAAAAAACCGCATCATCGTAATTATGATATAACATAGATTGTGACAAAAAAGTACCCASAAATTGTAAATGAAATGCAAAATATTTATTTATTCAACCATACTTATTTTGTCGCCTTCAAAGTAATCCCCACCAAATATAATAACTTACGATAACGATTTTTGCAGTCCAAGAAACACTTATTCCTATTCATACTTCATAARCACATTTTGGGTTGGCCTTCAGCTCATTCAGCGAATTTTGTTTTATCKCTTCGATCGACTGAAAAGTGTTCCACAGAGCGACAACTTCAGTTTGSGGAGCAAGAAAAAATCACACGGAGACAAATCTGGTGAGTTGTGCCAAAAATATGGCAATCATGCTAATAGAAAACTTGATACTGATACAGCTTGTTAAATATTTCAGAGCTTAGTTATAACCAGATAGCTCAAGTTACGATTTATAAGCACTCCACATCCAGCTAAATTGCCACATTCATTACATAGACTCATTTTTTGTAAAATGGTGGCAACTTCTATGGGCCTGTAATGTTGTTTTCACCACCATTGTTGTTTTTATTATAAATTATATAATGGCTATTAGTGCTACTGCAGGTAATATTAACCCAATTTTACTAAACATAATTGCATAATTAAATTTATTTCAAAAATATTTTGTTGCTATTTTTGTAGAGTTTTCACTTTTAGGCACAGCAAATTGACATCATTAATGCATGTGTGAGTGTATGTGTGTGTATTATGCGCGCCACCACAGCATTTGCATAAAATTATTAAATTTATTTTACAGCAGCTCACACACTCACACATGTGTGACTCTTTCAATGCATTTTAAACCGAAATCGCTTGTGTTCCATTTTGGATACTCATTTTAATTAAACTTATTTTTTTAGTGGCACTAAATTTCGATTGCACTGTGAAAATTTCGCATTCTAATTTCTAATAATAGTCATTTCCATCGGTTCACACTTACCCACATACATGCAGGTGAGCAGCAGCTGCAGCGCCGGTATTGAGARTCGCTCATTCTCCAGCTTAACCAATTCCAGTGCTARTTTTTCGATTTTGTTGCGCAACAACGGCGTCACTATGCCGACAGCTGRTGAGCCGACGGCACTGCTGACAGCCGACGCGCCTRATGATGTGCTCATGCCATTATTGCCGGTATTACTAATGACCACCATGCGTTCGAGACCCTAGAAATAGAAATGAAATATGGAAAAAATGTTATATGYAATTTAAAGATTAGGTGGCAGCACYAATATTAGGTTTYATTAGATTATATACTTAAACGCCGAGAACGCAGAATACTAAGACTGCTGAGGGCATTTTTTTCTTTTTTCAGAAAATTTCCTGTAAAGCGAATTTGTGATTCTATAAAAAATCTGTTCCATTAYATTCTGTTATATTCCAACTAGTTCACTTTCTTGTCTAAGCGTGCAGCAACCAAGATTTTTTAGAAAAAATCTGGCAAAAACGTTACAGCGAAAAATGATTTCACAAGCTTTTCATCCAGGCAATTTCTGCAACTTATTTTCGATGTAATTATTTAATATCAACGCGTTTTTCGCCGTTGAATCTAGTGAAGGATTAATAGCACACAAAAAACATCGGAACCTACAGCCACACCTCGCCCGACAGATGATGAAATGATAAAATTAAAATACACTTAGTCCTGCCATAAYTTCTGTTACAAGTTCAATTTCTAAAGTTGCTTCCACACAAACTCTCAAACGATCCAATTGATCAGTGGCAGCAGGCACAGTTTGTGTTGGCATTAATGATGCTGCTTGAACCAACGATTTTTTGACATTCTACAAATTTCTGCAGAGTATTCAACAGGCCATATTCTCCAGCTCTGACCACATACTGCACTCCTTAGGATTCAAATCTGGACTACCAGAAAGATAGCAAGTTGCTTTTAAGATTGCTTTTAAGAGACTGAATGCAAGGTGTCTTATATGCTTTACCAGAATCTAGCTGGAAGATGACCAATGAATGCTCTCCATCAAAAACAGTATGGCTTAACTGTTCTACTATGCCTTCTAAAACAGCCTGCCGTTATACTTTTGACCGAGTTTTGGCCCTTTCCACAAAAGCGAAGAGGCGCTATGCTGGCTACTCCCCACCAAACCAGTAACCAGCAACTGGTTGTGACCACGTTGCAACTTTGGAGTAACAACTTTTACGTCGCAGATTGTATAATTTTTTCTATTAAAGCTTCTTCARCAGTCCACACATTTTCATCTRTAAAAARAATACTTCCATGATMGTTGATTGTGTGCCATCGAAGCAGACGCTTGCATTTATTGAGCTCAAATTGCTTGAAGCGTCTAATCACGAAATGAGCAGTGGAACGATGGTAAGATTTCTTGTGAAGATTATCTTGACACTAATATGACCGATATATTCATTTTCCTTGATATAACTTTCAATATTTGAAAAAATTGCTGATTGCTAGATATGTGTGGACACTGCATATACATTTGTATGTCAGGTTAGGTTAGATTAATCTGGTAGGCCAATAAACCATCCATAGATCAGCTTGGTCCTTTGCGAYACCAAATGGAGTTCACTTGCTAAGTCATTGTTAGGATGCCTGCRCTTGACTCGAATTTTAATAGACTCTGCGAATTTGTTCTCGCTGTATACATTGTAAGCTTTGTAACAGAAYTTATGGCAGCACRGCAATAAACGAGCCWGAGCTTAACTTAGTCCAAAAAGCATATAAAAAATGCTTTATTGGTCTATTGTGACTCTTGTTCCTCTCTTATTCTTCTATTAGTTAAAACTCGACCTCAAATTATCTTCAAATGAAATTTTATGCAAATCGAATTTCGGCTACATAATTTTGCTATTTTTGGTTAATCAGTGAATATGGCCAATCGGCGGTAAGTGCAAATATTTTTAGTTTTGTGTGTGTGTACGTGTATAAAAACTAATTAGAAATACTTTTTCACTGGCACTTTTTGACTATTAAAAATAAATTAAAATTATGCAACGTAAAGAAGCTATTTATCCGCAATTTAAAACATGCCTAAACTATTTCATTTATTTTATGATTTTATCATAAGTTTAAAGTTATATAATGTATTAGCTGCACTGTAKTCACGAAGGACACCATGTCGTATGTGCAAAGAATAATTTGTTAGGCACTTGTATGAATGCTCCAAACATTTGATATATCGTCAACTAAAATGCAGAATAACTTAACATCACTTTCCATAACTTTATAAACGAAAGAAAAACGATATAATAGAACCACTCATTTTGAAACAAAATTTGAGTTTTCGTTATAAAGTGGTTATATATTGGTTATCACACACTGGAAAAATTTGATTTTTGGTTATAAAATGGTTATAAATTGGTTGTCACACAGTGAAATAATTTTATTTTTGGTTATAAAATGGTTATATATTGGTTACCACACTCTGAAACAATTTGATTTTTGGTTATAAAGTGGTTATATATTGGTTATCAGTCATTCATATTGAAAAAACATTTTAATTTGGGTTATATACTTATTATATACTGATTATATCTGACAATAATCTAATATTATATAGTGAATTGTAAGCAATATAAAACTCAATATCTTTTTGACATTTTCTTTTTGTGTTTTACTTAGATGAGGAAAAGTCATTGGTCTTTGACAGTGAATATCTCGTAAACGCTTAACTCAAACGAAAAGTTACATAAAATTTTTGTAGAGCAGAAAATTTCCTAAAAAACTACGACCTGTGCAAAATAAAAGAAAAACACAAATAAAAATCATGGATGGATGGATAAATTTTTTTTATTGTCTTATTAAATTCTACAAATACAACAACTCTAGAATATTTTCCTAAATTTTCAAGTTGATTCAAGTTTAGTTGCGGAGATATAGCCTTGAGAAAAAACTGTATTTTTGAAGTCGGCTGGCAAAATTTCTCGAGAACTTCTCAACCGATCATCATAAGAGTCTTTGAGATACAATTCGTATAAACTTGGACGAAGGATTTTTTTCTATTACAACTATTGAAAAAAAAAAAATTTGCGGAATGTTAAAGAAATGTTTGCCAAAAATTCGATTTTCAGTTWATTTTTCTTTTGTTCAAGTTTTAAGTTAAGGTTTTAACTAAAACACGTTTCTTTTTCACTTTATATGATTCTGTGCGAAATTATCCTGCCAACGCGGGCGCAGCTTTTTTGCGAGGTGTCACCGGAAACGAGTTTAAAATATTTTTTTTTTTTTTTCAAAAGTTTCAGAATTTTTTTGTTAATAGTGTATGTTTGTAACAAAAGAAAAATCGAATAAAATATTTAATTTTTTATATCAGAAAAAAATGTTGAGAAATGGTAGTTTTTTAACAGAGGAAATCCATATAACCCACTAAAATAGTCACACTTCAACCTCTAATAACTTTCAAACTGTTAAATTTACAAAGAAACCGTAAGAGACTACGTTGTACAACACTCTATTACTTACTAAATCCGCAAAACGGAATATGACTAAAAGTAGTTGACAGCGAGTTATGAATTTTTTTRACTGATAATAAGAAAAAAATAAAAAATGTAAGGCGGCGGATCTTTCGCTGTACAATTAAAAGCTTACAMTTGGAGAAGCTGTCTTARAGATGTCTATCAACCAATTGTTCTCGAATACCAAGCGAAAAAAATATAATAGATTTKCTTTATACGCACCCTAATGCAAGTATAAATGTAGCCGCTATTGGCTGAAGCGAAGCAGAAAACTTTATTATATTTTAAAAGTTAAACCAAAAAGTGCAAATGAATAAATAACTAAAGCGCTATATACTATATATGTTTGYCTGCATTTGCGTGTTTCTAAATAAAGCAATTTCCATAAACTTTTACAACCACTTATTCCTGGTTGCAACTTTACTGCCGCCTATTTACTCGCTGCTCGAATGTTTACAACTAATTGCAGCAATTTATGCTGTTCGTGTGCTCGGCCACGCCGAATGCCTGTTGTTCGGTGTTTTTGCCACGCATTTGTTATTTTTGTTTTTGTTTTTGTTTTCGCTTTATTTTATTTTGCTGTGCATTGGCTACGTTCGCCACATTTTTGTTTTAATTGTCGCCCATGTCGCCCAACAAGCCGGTCGGTCATAATCCACACAATTAAACCGACGTCCATTAGGCATATTCACAGGACCAAAGTGTTATTTAACTATTTGCTAAACTAACAAAGCCATGTCGGCACATACACACACACACACACACATCTAACGAACATACATACAATCAGTTAAGTGAGCAAGTGAGTGAGCCGCAACAAACTAAGCCGAGTGCTCAGCCGAGAGCGGCGCTCGTTTGAAAAGGTGTAAGGCAAAACGAAATCACCATTAATACATGTGTGGCTGTATGTGTTCATWTATGTGTGTGCTCGTGTTTGTGTGCGCGCGGTCGGCAATGTCATGGCACAATTCAAGYGTAAACGCAAYGCATTGATTCCGGTCAACAACGGTCAGCCAAGCAGACGGACAGTCGCACAGCTAGCCATGGGAGCTTTGAAGCTGCCAGCGTGTTGTTTTTGTTAGCTCCTCAAYATATTTTGCTTGGCTTTCACTCTCGCAGCCATAAAAATAAATGCTATCATAGAAAAAATCAACATCATTTCCTATATACATAKGTATATGTGTATGCGTATGTGCAGGACAGTTGGTGGTTGTTGTTAGTTTTGAAAATTGCCAATCAAAAAACCAATTAACAAGCACCATGAGCAGCAGCAGCAACGGTGGCATCACTGTGGCACTGACCACCAGTGCCGGCCACAGCGGTCATTCAGTCACAGAGAGCGCTRCTCGTCAGGCGGCTGTGTCCCGCGGCAAATCAACAAAACGCTAAACGAACGACAACGGCAGTCAGACAGCGGCTGCGGGCGATGGACCCTGAAAAAAACAACAAAAAGAAAACAGCAACAAGAAGAAACGTTAACTTCGAATGCAACGAAGTTGTAATACCCTTCACAAATAAATAGTTTCTATGCAAGGACGTGTTTTTGATCGATCAGTTTGTATGGCAGCTTTATGCTAAAGTGTCCCGATCTGAACAATTCTTTCAGATATTGTAGCTTTACCTTGGACATAAACGAATGCCAAATTTCGTGAAGATATCTCGTCAAATAAAAAAGTTCTGCTCACAAAGATGTGTTTTTGATCACTCAGTTTGTATGGCAGCTATWGGCTATAGT